ATTCCAGTAAGTTGTATTTGTATTTTGGTTTGCTTGTAGGTACTGTTTAATTTCTTCTTTAATTTCCCCTGTGACCCACTGATTACTCAACAGTGTGTTATTCAGCTTCCATGTGTTTGTGGGATTTTTGCTGTATCTTTTATCATTAATTTCTGATTTCATGGCACTGTGATCCGAGATAACATGCATGAGTAATTTCCACTCTTTTGCATTTATTTAAATATGTTCTGTGGGCTAATATATCGTCTGTTTTAGAGAATGTCCCATGTACTGCTGAGAAGAATGTGTATTCTGATGTTGTTGGATGGAACACTCTGTCTATCAAGTCCGTTTGTTCACATGTATTCAGTTCTGTTATTTCTTTGCTGATTTTCTGTCTGGTTGATCTGTCCCTTGGTGTCAATGGTGTGTTAAGGTCTCCTATTATAATTGTGTTGCTGCTTATTTGGTTTTTCATTTCTGTTAATACTTGCTTTATATAACTGGGTGCTCTGGAATTTGGTGCGTATATATTTCAGATTGTTATCTCTTCCTCTTGAAGTTTTCCCCTAACCCATATGTAATGACCATCTTTATGTCTTCTGATCATTCTTGGTTTGAAGTTAACATGGCCTGCAAACAGAATAGCTACCCCCACTTTTTTGGGGTGTTCCTGTTGCAGGAAGTGTTATTTTCTATCCTTTGACTTTCAGTCTGTATCTTTTTGGGTTAGATGGGTTTCTTTTAGATAGCATATGGTTGGATGTTGTTTCTTGATCCATTCTGCCAGTCAGTTTCTTTGAACTGGTGTATTTAGACCATTTACAGTAATGGTTATAACTGTTATATGTTGCTTTATTCTTGACATGTTATCTTTCTGCTGTTGAATCTTTATCTTTCCATTCTGTTTGATTGTATCTTTTGCTTAGTGGTTTTTTTCTAAGTGTATCTAAACTGTGTTTCAGTATTCTTTGCATGGTTGGCTTGTTGATCATGAAGTTCTTCAACTGTTCTTTGTCATGGAAGTATCTTATTTCTCCATCGATTTTGAAGGACAGTTTTTCAGGGTACATCCATCTAGGTTGGAAATCATTATCCTTTAGGATCTGAAATACTTCACTATATGCTTTTTTTTACTTTATTGTTTGTATTGAGAAGTCTGCTGCTATTCTGATAGATTTTCCTTTATAGGTGATCTATCTTTTCTCTCTGACAGCTTTTAATATTCTATTCTTATGTTTGATTTCTGGGATGGTGATTATTATATGCCCGGGTGTAGTTTTATTTTGGATTATGGCTAGTTGGAATTCTATAGGCTTCACTGATCCTGATGTCAGTTTCCATTCTCATGTTTGGGAAATTTTCAGCTATTTCTTCTTTAAATATCCTCTTGACATCCTTTATGTTGGACCCTTCTTTTCCATTTATCCCTATCAATCGTATGTTGTTTTTCTTTGCATCATCTTGCAGCTTTTTGCTTTTTCCTGATTCCTGGTTATTTTTAAAAGATTTTTCCTTTCCTGTTCTCTAGCTGCAATCTTGTCTTTGAGGTTTGAAATTCTATCTTCACTTTCACTGGGGTGGTTTTTACAACTTTCAATGGAATTTCTTATTTCCTGTGTATCTCATTGCATCTGCTCTATGTATTCTGTTTGTTTCTTACATTGTTCATCCAGGGATTCTACCTTTTTATCTAGTTCCTCCAATTTTTTAACAGTGTCTTCATTATCTATGTTCAGCATGTCTTTCATTTCTTCTTTTACCTGGGAGATCATTTCTAGTTTGAATTCCTTTAAAGCTTCCCAGAGTTGCTTCTTTATTTCACTTGCTATTATTTCAGGCATTTCAAGTGTATAGCATATATTTTCTTCTATGTACATAGCTCCTAAGGTTTCTTGTCATGGGCTGGAGGTTTGAGCTTGCATTTTGGTCTTTTGCTTTGTCATTTTACTATATTTCCGTGTTTCAAGTGTTGCTCCAAGTCTTCCCCTGGATGTGTTGGTAGTCATCTCTTGTGCCTTAGGCTCCTGAGACTGAATGGAGGTTTCTGTGCCTGGTCTAGTTAGGCCCTCAGGCTCTCCTGTGCCACCATCAGTGTTCCAGGTAGCTGGGCAGGCACTTAACCACTGTGGATGATGGGCTATCACTCTCCCTGTGTGAAGACCAATGTTCTGGAACTCACTTCACCTACTCTCAAATTCCATAATTGAAGAAGGTCAAGGGGCATAATATAGTTAGTCTACAAAACCTCCCAAGGCTAGTCTAGTGTGCCTGGGCTCTGGATGGGCCCTTGTGCTCTGGAAGAGATGATCTTAAAGTCTTCTGGGGCTTGGGGTGGCACGTGGACTTACCCCAGCCACCACCTGAGTTTCCGGGTTTGGAAGAAGGTCACTGGGCATGTGCTGGGTAGGCCTGAAACTTGCCAAGAGCACCCTAGTGTGGCTGGTCTACGGGTGAGTCCTTGAGCTCTAGAGATCAAGAGATCTCTCCATCAATTTTGAAGGACAGTTTTTCAGGATACATCTGTCTGGGTTGGAAGTCATTTTCCTTTAGGATCTGAAATACTTCACTCCGTGCTATTCTTGACTTCACTGTTTGTGTTGAGAAGTCTGTTGTGATTCTGATAGGCTTCCCTTTATATGTGATCTGTCTCTTCTAACAGCTTTTAAATATTTTATTCTTACATTGGATTTCTGGGTTGTTGATTATTTTATGTCTGGGTGTAGTTTTATTTTGGTTATGGGTATCTGGAGTTCTATAGGCTTCACTGATCTGTATGTCAGTTTCCATTCTTGTGCTTTTGAAATTTTCAGCTATTACTTTTGTAAACAGCTTCATGATATTATTTGTGTTGTCATCTTCTTTTTCATTTATACCTATCAACTTATGTTGTTTTTCTTTGCATCATCTTGCAGTTGCTGAAATGTTATTTCCTGGGTCCTTGTTATTTTAAAAAAATCTTTCCTTTCTTGTTCACTAGCTGCAATCTTGCCCTTGAGTCTGAAAGTCTATCTTCACTTTCACTGAGGTGGTTTTGCCAACTTTCAATGGAATTTTTTATTTCCTGTATATCTCTTTGAATCTGTTTCATGAATTGTTTGTTTCTTATATTGTTCATTCAAGACTTCCATTTTTTTGCATTGTTCCACTAATTTTTTAATTATGTATTCTTTAGATGTGTTCAGCATTTATTTCATTACATTTATCATTTCTTCTTTTACCTGGGAGATTATTTCTGATCTGAGTTCTTTTATAGCTTCCTGGAGTTGTTTCTTTACTTCAGTTGTTTTCATTTCAAGAGTTTCAGGTGTATGGCTTACATTTTACATTTTATGTGCATGTTTCCTAGGCTTGCTTGGGATGGGTTTGGAGGTTTGAGGTTGCATTTTGCTCTTTTGTTTTGTCATTTTCCTATATTCTCTTAGGGAAGCCAAATGCAAACTCTCAGTTTTCTTTGGGATTGAGAATATATAACCCTATTGTAGGGAGTTTCTCCAGTTTAGTGGGGGTCCTTAGACAGACCTTACCAGATGGCTCCAGCCACTTGGGGCCTTATCAGTCTTGGAGCAAAGCACCAAACATTCCCTGTGGGCTGGAGAGCTCTGCAAGCACTTTTGGTTGACCAGGCCAAATGCAGGCAGCTGAGCTCAGCTCGGGAATTGCTAGGTGGGGCCCAGATAGGCCCAGAGGGACCTCCTGGTGCATCCTTGGGGATATGGGAGGCTGGATGGGGTCTTATCCATCTCCAAGGAAAGTACCAAAGCTTCCTTGCAGGCTAAAGTGTTGTATGCACTTTTGGCTTGCCAGGTAAAATCACATTTTCATATTTAAAAATTATAGCAGAGCTGTCTCCCATGTGGTGATTTTGGTTAGTACATATAAAGTGTGGTGCGTGTATATGTTTATGAATATACATATATACATGCATGCATAATCTAAGTACAACATTGTCAAAAAGCATTTTGATATCTTTAAAAAGTTCAAGTATCAGAATTCTGAGTATTTCTGGATTGTTATATAAAGGTGTCTGGGCTGATAGGTTCTTTATGGACTATTAAGGTGATGATTCTGGTGCCCAAATGGTATCAACACATATACACCTGTATGTTCCCATGGCTCTACTAAGCAGTGCACTGCTTTACTGGCACAGAAGAGCTGTGGCTGAAGGATGAATGACTTGTTTCTTTGTTGCCAGAATATTTATAATAGCCTTGAAGGGGCTGATACATGAAAAAATTGAATAGAAAAGACTGACAGAATTTTACTTAGAAATAAGGGGAATGACTTTAAGTTTTTAATATCAGTAAACAACTTTTACATGTAAGAGAAGCACCAGAGGAATGTTTGTATAAATGTTTCTAAAACTGAGCTTGTTGAAGCCATTTTTAATGAGAAAATAGGGGAGTGTCTACTTTTAAAAAATCAGAGTAAGGGACTGGAGCTAAGTGATAGAATGCTTGCCTACCACACATGGAGCCCTGGGTGTGTTTCTTCAGCTTTGAGATATAGCAGAATATTAGATTACTTCTTCACTGGGTTTTATATAATCCCACTTGTTAGGCAGTACAATTGAGGGTGAAGAAAAAGGGATAATAGCTCTAATTTTGCTGGAGAATATAATGAAGAAATAAGAAAACAGGTTAATTTTTTTTCCTCTATACATTTGTAAGGAAAATAGGAATAATACCTGTGGGTTTGGGGGATTGTTTTTGAAGGCCACTATGTCTTAACAATAGTAGCTAAGATTTATTGAGTGCCTACTGTGTCTGATAATTTTCATGTTATATCTTGTTTAATCATTGCAAAAACCTAGCCAAGTCAGCTATGGTAGACTATTGTATGGTGGTTCCCAACTAATCACACATCAGTGTCCTCCTGGGACACACAATGATTCTAGGTGTGGCCTCATGATTTGCCTTGGTAAGTGGGAATTAACTAGCATGATACAAGTAGAGGCTAAACAAATGTTTGAATACTACATTTGACATCTCAAGACTTAATTATTGCCATTATAATCTTAGGTTAAGTTACTAAATGAGGAGAAGCCATATGGAAAGAGACTTTGAAGAATAAGAGAGCATTTTGGACATTTCAACCACAGACTCCCAGCTGAACATTGTTGAGTCTTCTAAGAATTACAAGCAAAAATAGCTGAAGCATCTCAAGCTGAACCCAACCTACAGAGTAATTAAAATTTAATAAATCTTTTTAAGCCACTACATTTTGGTGTGGTTTGTAACATAGCAATAGAAAACTCAAATATGAGTAAGATAGTTTACAATTGACAAATACACAAATTGTTAGTCGGAGAAGTTAAGTAACTCCAAATACACCAAAAAATCCCTTTTTTTCCCACTATGCCCTTCTCTAAATTCTAGGCTGCATTTACAAACTGCTTATTTGGAAGGTTTCCTTGGTTGTATAATAAACATCTCTAACATAACACACCTAAAACAAAGGTCTTTTAAAAAATTTTTTTCTTATTTTAAAGAGATTAAGACAAAAAGGACATAACACAGTAGATCAGATCAGAACAATGCAAGTAACACAGCATTTTACCACAAGACAACCATAATTAACACTAACTACCATAGTGTCTCTTTCTTTGAAATAGCTGAGCATAGCTTCATATACAATAGTATCAAGCATAACAAAACAGAATAAAATCATTCAAGAGAATGAAAGCATTATAGGGCTTTCAGAACCAAGTAGCAGAGAATGAACAATGGCTACTATATTATCTCATTTTCCAAGAAATTTTGTTTATACTATCACACATAATAATATCCAATAAGATATAACAGGATAGACCCAAAGGCAACAGAAAAACAAAAGCATAGTAAGACTACAGAGTAAGAGGATACTAAATCAGCTCTGGCTATTCTAATGTCTTCTTTTCTTTGCTCTGATGCCTTATAATGTCTACATTCATTAGTTGGAATGGTTTTATCTTAGTTTATTTGATTTTATTATCTGTGATAGTATAAACAGCTATTTTAAAACAAAGTTCTTGAACTGTCCTCTCCCAATTTTGGTGCAACCTTCTCTACCTACTTCCCTCAATAAATGGAACCAGACCCCATCTCACAGCACAGGCCAAATATCTGTAGTTATCATTGATTTATCTCATGCATAGTTCTTCAATCGGTCAAGTCTTGAAAGTAGTATCTTCAAAATATACTTCTAAATCTAAACCTTATAGATCATTACTTAGCCTACATCATTACTTACCCTAAATATAGCTGTTCTGACTATGCTGTGCTTTGCTTAAATATAAAAAAGGATTTGGGAGAGATGAAAGAGTAGAAATAGCACCAAAGAGATGGAAAGGTCAAGGAAAAAAAGAGTGCCAGCTTCAGATTCAACAACCCTTCCTGTCACCTGTACATGGCCCCAGATGTCAGATCGCTCTATTAGCTCACTTCCATCTTTCAGCTTGACAAGGCTACTATGCTATAATTAACTGAACTGCTTTGTAGTTAACTGTGGTCAGGTGATTATGTTTCCTACAAGGGAACATGAGTAGAATTGGCATGTGCCACTTCTACGACCACAGAAAAATACACATCTCTCAGTGAACAATCCTTTTGCAGTGGAATAGGATGTTGGTGACCCTAGGTCTCTTTGAATGCTCTGTGTCAATGACCATCTTGTTGTCTTCCATCTCAGCCTATGGAATCTCTTGCTGATGGCATATTCTGAGCTCATACTTATGGAATCTGTAGCCTCATCATGTACCACTTTCTGTAGCTTGATCAGTTCTTATCAAGTCAGCTTGGGTTGTGTTATTGAAAGAAGATAATCTGATTTCATAAGTTGTAGCAGAATGACTTGGTTTGATTGTAGTATTTACCTTCCCTGGCCTTTTTGGTTTTGTTCTTTGTGGTCTAGGTATAAGCAATTCAGATATGTGTTTTAGATATTTCATAAATTCTAATCATTAACGTCTTTGAATACGTGCTCATTTCATTGAAGGTGAGCTAAAGCTGATTTCACCTCCAGGCCTCGCCCTGCAAGGAACCATAGGAAAACCTACAGGTCTCAAACTATGCTGGCGGAGTGAGACTATTCTCAGAGAAATGAGCCGATCTCTGGATGTTGGGGTTGGCTCCAATCTGTCCTCCTCCCACCCCTCAACTTGGTCCTGCTTCCTAGGAGTCCTTTGTTGTCAGTCTCCAAGGTAAGCACAAAGGTGTAATTTCCAGTTTTTCCTCAAAGTGCCAAGTCTCATCACCTTAATTCACAGTTCATGGTTAAATAGCGTTTGTGTTCATGTGAGCTTGTGTGTTTGTGTGTTTATGTATGCTGGTTTCTCTATCATTTAACAGAGGAGCCCTGCATCAACATGTCCATAGTCTGAAAACAAAAATGTACTGTTGACAAAGTGAGTTCTTTCTGACTTTATACTTCTTTCTCCATAAAGTAGTGTTTCAAGTTTTTAAAAAAAAAAAATATTTTGCTCACTTCTATAAGGCACAGTCTCTTTTTCACCAAAACTTGTAAAAAATTTTGTTAGAAAATTTATAACATCATTTACTTCCATGGTACTCTTAGGAAGCAGTTAGATGAGAGAAAGTGCACTTTTAAATGAAAAATTAGTCTACACTACAGCTGTAAGTCAGAAACCCAGAGGGAGTCTACATAGGCAAGCTAGGCCTTAGGCCAGAGAGATCATCCTGGGTCATCTTATCCATTTCTTCCCTCGCAGACTACCTCCTCTCAGGCACACACACACACACACACACACACACACACACGCACGCACACACACACACGCACACTTCTCCCCTTCACCCACTTCTCTCCCTTTTTCTCTCTTCTCTGCTACTGCACCACAATCTACAGATTCTCTCTTCTCCTGTTTAGGAGGCAGTCCCTGGGGCCCTGTTCCCAGAATATGCTAACACTTACCTCTGAATCTCTGTTCAGCTTGTTCTAACAGTGAGGGTTCAAGGTGTTTCTTTCTTCTTTGGTGCTTCATGGCTCAAGTCTGGAGAATTGCTGATGTCAGGTAAGTTTCTATCTTAACGTGCTCTTAAAAATTCAGATGCTAAAAAAAAAAAAAAAATTTCAGATGCTGATGATAAAGAGTGAGATGTATATAACCAAAAACCAGTATGTAACCCAAGGAGCCTACTACTCACTAGGACTTCCTCCAGAATAGTTAATGCTGAGCACACACTGTAGTTGGTGTCAGTTATAACTGAAGCCTTGGCAATGGTCTATGACCCGTCCATGACATCCACAGAGTTCCGGAGCCTACTCAGAATTCATAGCAGTTCAGCCCTGTTAAACCCAGTGACTAAGCAGATGTTTATCTTTTATCTGATGAAAATTTTATCGTTAATGTTACTTTCATATCTTGTACTTCATAACCAAAGGGAACACACAGGATATCGATTAAACAAAGAGAAGCCTTGTGTGTCTCTAAGCACACTGTGTGACTACCTCTCCTCATTGATGGTGATACAGCAGCACCATAGAGGATTAGGCTTACCGCTGTGCTTGTCTCTCTAAACATTGTGAATGCTGTGTCTTCTTCATAGTATTTAAATTATGTAGAGGCACATGTGAGATGCATATTGATATACAGGTATAGAATTGAAACTATTTGATACTTTCATACAATTCTATCATTTATTTGGCTTCTCCTGTTCCTAGGACCATTTCTATGTGTCTTCCAGAGAAGAAATCTGTCTCTTGTCACTATTCTTTATCACTTCCCCATTGGTTGGGAGACAGATAACAATTGGTTTCATGAAGCCTGGTCTTTGGAAGGACTTCTTAAGACTGAAGGTCTCATTCTGTAAGATTATGCTGCTGTCCCTTAACTTTCCTTTGGAGACACCTAGGTCTTGTTCAGAATTTCAACTCAGAGATTTATTTTACTTCTTACTGTTACAGAATGTACCTCATCTGTTAGACTTAATGTAGGTTTCTGCATACCTTAATGATTTCCATTAGATCCAGAGTGTGGCTTCCTCTACCCCATTGGAGCTGCCTGTGGTTGTTCTCTTTATCCCTGAGGACTGAACACTAGGCATGGCTACTCAAAAGTTCTTATGAAAGGTCCTATCTCCAAATGTCACAGGAGGCAGGGTTGTGTACACAATACCCAACATCCAGCACAGGAAGGAGGAAAGGTTTGTTCGCATCACACATTCCAGTGGGTTAGAGTGTCAGACTGCTGTCACCAAGGCAGAAATGACATAGTGGATGCGTTCTGCTCATTCCATAGCAGCCACGAAGTAGATAGAATTGGGAGCAGCCCGAGTCATAATTCACCCTTCTAGAGCATCCCACTGTGGTCCACATTCAGAGAAGGCCCCATCTCCTAGCTGCACAGCTAGCCACCAATGAATGAGTCTATTGAAGAACTTAGTGCCCCACAGTCCAAGAAGCTTTTCAAAGCCCCACCACAGAACATGTGAGAGTTTTTCAGACCACTTTTGATCAAACCATAATGTATGCTGAGTTCTTCAATAAATGAATTGGAAGGGACAAAATTTAAGCATCCTCCCAAGAATTTGTTAGGTGGGTGCTTTCCTAGGTTCATATAATATGACCTTGTATATAGCTTACGTTGCAGTCCTTTTTCATGCTATGCTTCTTTAATGTAGGCCATCGCTTTTTGACATCATGCCAGAGGCCTTTCTATCAGGAGATTAGTAAGAGCAGAGTTATTAGTAAGAGCAGAGTTCTGAAACCCCTGCCCCTGTACTAAGTGCTGTTATGGGAAATTGTTCACATTTTGGCAAACTGTCCAATTTACAGCACGTTTCATGCAGCTCCCCTGAAGAAGGCCCCTTCAAAGTCCTCTCCCGGGAATGCTGTCCTAGTTCCGGCTGGTCTCGGCCACCCAGATCATGCAGCTCCTTTGGCAGGTGGCCCTTCCCTTCCTTTGTGGACCCAGTGCTTCCTCAGTAGGTCGCACTTCGTTTAACCCCAAGTTCATAGTCCTCATATCAACAGTCAAGATGAGGGCAAACCCACATGTAAGCCAGAATTGTCTTATACGGTATCTGCCTTAGCTGATGTGTTTCCATAGAATTGAAGCAAGGGGGAAAGGCTGCAGACCCAGGGCATTCAGATGGATCGAGGTTCCAGGAACTTTACTTAGATACCTCCATCCTAATCCTGAGACTGAAATCCTACAACTCTGAGCAGGATTTAAAGC